ATGTCTTTGTCTATGTCTTCTGAGGAACCAGAAGACATAGGCACAAAGGTCTATTTATCTCTATAAATATTTATTCTCGGGCCCCTACTGAAATTTCTGGTTGTAGCTGTGATCAGCAAACTACAGAATTAAAAATCCTGGTGTTATTTCTAGGATAATATCTGTATCATTGAGAGAAAAGCCTTCAAGGGGACGTTGAAATGCTATAGTCCTGATAACAATTACAGATGCTTGGCAAAGGAAGAGCTCATCCCCAGTACGTGAGGTCCATCCGACCTCAAGTCTGCTGAAACACCCTCTTTTCGTCATGCCGCTGAGTGGTTTCTTTGACAGTACCCGGTGAGGCAAGGTAGCATCCCGCTTTGCAGATTGGAAAGCTGAAGCATAGCAAGCCACAGCAATGTCACCACAGTGCCAGGGAGGGTATATAGCAAATCATGAGAAGGAATCTAAGATCCATTCTAAGACGCGTTCATGTTCAAAAATTCGTCAACTTCCTCACTGTCGAGAGTAGTGAGACATAAGTCTTCAGAAGTGAGCTGTGGAAGGTCAGGTAGTTTGGCTCCGAAAGGGAATTACTTCTATAAATGACAATCTGAAGATTCCCACCAATGCTGTGCTTCCAGCTGACCTAAAAATTGTCCCATCTGTGCTTAAGTTGACATGAGGTTGCAATCACCTTGACTACTGTAGCTGGAATATTATAATTCAGACCTGCGCTGGCTGGTAGTCTTTGTTCAGAACTGTACATTTCGATGATCCACCCTTTCGTTTGAGATGCATGTGGTTAATAGTAAATGCTCCGGGAGAAGTAGTGCACTCAGTGGCCAGAGAGCTCAACTGTGTGAACATCCTAGAGAGGTAACTTATAACTGAGCCATTTTCTGTTTGCTCTAGACAACAGTGCAAAATATATTTTGCAGACCTCATTTTCTGCCCATGGCAGGGGGTTGGAACTAGATGAACTTTAAGGTCCCTTCCAACCCAAACCCTTCTGTGATTCTATGGTTCTGCGCTCACTAGTGTGGAAACAGTAATACTCCCTCTGATCGTGTCGTGACCCTCTGCAGCTTCTCCGCTTCAGTGGCATAATTAGGAAAAAATCAGCTCTGCCACATAAGTTACGCCTGCAGTGGAAGCCTCCAACAGGAGGCATGCACGCAGGATTGACAGCGGCGTATCTGCTGAACGATAAGTTTCCAGGAAGCGGGTTCTCTCAAACACGGGAGCAAGGTTTTTAATGATAACTGTACGGGAGCATTGTTCACGTCAGGATAGTCCATCCCAGGCTTCTGGGATACTTCCATTTTGGAGGAAGCATTTCCAGATATTTGAAAAGGTACGATTTTAGCCAAGAATTTAATGTTTCTTAAATGTTAATATGTTGCGGTTACTTTTTTGAGTAAGTCTGGTTTTTTTTTCCCCCCAACTTCTGTCAAGCAAACTATATCTCTGCATTTCTCCTGCAGATGTTTTTCAAGAGCAAATAGTAAGCTTGTAGTGTACTCTCTTTAACCAAAGGTGGGTTTTTTGACATAATTTACCAAGCACCTAGTGTTATGTCAACACACAGCATACATTCCTGTCACCTGGGGCTCAGTCCCACAATGCATGGAATAACCTCACCTTCTACTAAAGAAAATGAGACATGAGAGCACCAAACGTAGAGTCCAGTGACAGAGAGACAGACTCGGATGTCTGCCACATACTGATGGTTACTCTACACTTGTGAAGCTATCAGTGTCTCTGCTTCTCAGCTTCTCTGTCACCTGTATGACTGGGCAATTAAAAGGAGATGGAAAGCTTGACCTCCTAAATGTTCAGTCTGAGCAGTCCCAAATGCTGTACTGTAGCAGAATGCAGGTCTATTTTTCAGGTCTAATTTGTGCTGATGCTAGCTGGTACAATTGTTATGCAATTGTGCAGGCATTGAGAATAGCCAGAGTACACTGTAGTCTAGTTATATACTTTACCAGGCTACGACAGAAGCTTCTTGACATCTGGAAATTCCTTTGTTCCAGAGTTGTACTGAAGACACCCTGACACTCACCTGAATTCTGCACCCATAGAATCACAGAACGGTTTGAGTTGGAAAAGACCTTAAAGCCCACCTAATTCCAACCCCCCTGCCATGGGCAGGGACACCTTCCACTAGACCAGGTTGCTCAAAGCCTCATCCAGCCTGGCCTTGGACACTTCCAGGGATGGGGCATCCACAGCTTCTCTGGGCAACCTGTCCCAGTGCCTCCCCCCCCTCTCCATGAAGAATTTTTTTCCAGATATCTAATCTAAATCTCCCCACTTTCAATTGAAACCCAGCACCCTGGCATTTGCTATTTAAGATTCACTTGTACCAAAGCTTTGAGAGGTCCTACTGTTCCAGCTGACAAAAAATCATCGATAGATAACTACCATACAGATGAGACTTTCTTGTCACCATTTATCATAATTAGAGGGAAGTTGAGTCATTGTGCCTGTGCTGGTAAATTCTTATGGCAGTTTTTCAAAGTCATTCATACTTGTTGTTTGTGCAGGTTGCTTTATATTGATAGTGGAGTCCTTTGTAGAAGAGAGAGGATGTTAATCTTTACTTAATTCCAGTTTGGGCAATTACATTTTGCCTGCCTGATTTCTCCACTGTGATTTCAAGCGAATTTTTACTTCCATCTTTATATACCATGATGTTTTGTTGTCTTTAGAGCACTGATGTGTGTCTCACACCAGCGGTGTCTACATTTTGGTCAGGTGGGATGAAATGTGACTTGCAAACATAGAGAATAATTAGTATTACTTACAAACTAACTGAACAATTCTGCAAAACTATTAAAAGGGAGGCTGGTTAATATACATAGGGAATGTTAGATGTTCAGCTACTCTCTTGTGACCACCAAATGTATTAATCCTGTGAGGAAGGAGCTGATGAACTGTTTTCACAGAGGCAGATTTTGAGCTTACTCTTTAATGAGTCTACTTCAGTTCAGTCGCAGCTGAAGGAGCCCTGAAACGGAGCTCTGGATCGGCCCATTGGCTGTGGACTATAGCCAGACAGGGACTTTAGTGACTGTACTTTGAAAGAAAATATGCGTAATGGACTTCCATCCACAAGGAACTGATTATATTAGTGTTACTCTCCTGCCTTGTCTTACTGAGGTCTGAAATTCCTTTCCTGAGTTGTTATGAATCTTGAGTCAGATTGCCTCCCCTGAAGTGTGTCTCAGTGCCCATGTATGGAAGAATATTTCTTCTGTGATCACAACAAATGCTTAGGTTGCAAAGGAAGAGAGCATTTTCCTGGAAGGAGAGGACAGTGTACGATAAAATTTTCAAAAGCATGGAAAACAAAGGAACCTAGGCTGCCTTATGCCTTTAGGTATTTTTGAGTCTGCAGTGTATGTTCATAAATCATTTTAGTGCTCCTGAAAATGTTCACCACCATCTGTTTCTTTAATGATGCAATGTCTGGCTCAGGAGATAAGTGTTTATGAAAAGTGAAGAAGAAGGGACTATGACATGTTTTTATACCATCCTGAAAGTGGAATTCTATTAAGATATCCAGCAACTTACCAAATTTTGAACTTTGAAAGAGACTTTAAGATAAAATGGTGGTTATGTACTAGATGGTTTTAGAATATATACATTATCTTATGTGCTAGATTTGCTCTACAATTCATACACGTTCTGGTGCTAAAGCAATAGTCTGCTTCATTTGCAGATACTTCTAGTTGTGTGAAAGCCAGACCTATGCCCCTGTCATTTGGTTTACATTCTCAAATTCAGTGAGTACTCAGCTGTGTAGGAATCACATTTTGTGGGAGAGATTCATCCTTCAAGGAGAAAAAGGAAGATTGTGAGAAAGGTTTAGAAAACACTTGACCAGGTCAGAACATGATGGGTCTTGAATGGGCCTTCCTCAAAAGCATACAGCTGCTGCCCTCTCTGTGATAAACTGAAGATTACCAGCACATTGCCAGGGGAAGATCAGCGTTTGCCCAGTTATCACGTGCTTCTCTCTGAAGTACGTCTACCTGTGCTACACGCGGGACGTAACCATCACCTGACGTCACGCTGTGGCAGTGCTTAGCAAAACCTAGATATTTTCACTGACAGCAGAGTCGTAGATAGGTGCGATGGTTAGAAGTGCAGAAGTCGTCGGACGGACCCTTCTGATGCTGTAAGTAAACTCCAGAAAGAGTGGTTAGAAGTGCAGAAGTCATCGTCGGATGGACCCTTGTGATGCTGTAAGTAAACTCCAGAAAGCGACACACGTCTGTGAGCGTCCAAAGGAGTGCTAGTACGGTGCATGGCTAGATTTCAGCCTATATTAATCACTGCCTGTGAGAAAACAGCTAGAGGAAAAAAGCAATCAAAGGAGCGGTCACATCAGAAGGAACATACAGAAACACTTGCTATGATTATGTGTAAACCAACCACAGGCTCTGTTTACAAACCTTTCCATCTGTTCCTTTGCCTAATCATTTCTGCTTTCCCTCTCTGTCTTCTAACTTTCCTTCGTCTTTCCAGATGCAGGACGCTATGGGCTATGAGTTACCATGGGTGTATTTTGTCAGTCTGGTCATCTTTGGATCCTTTTTCGTTCTAAATCTGGTTCTTGGTGTGTTGAGCGGGTAAGCTGACAGTTTTGGTGTCCTTTTTCCAATGCTACAGGGCAAGACTCCATAATAAGGGTTCTTCCCTGTCACCAGGATTCTTTCAGAGGGATTAAAAATCTGAATCTAAGGAAGCTTCACATCAGCTCTCAAATATTTTGACAAAATTTTCAAACATTGAAAATAACAATACAGGTGACAAAAGATGTGTTATTCTCTGACAAAGAAATTCAACCTCAGGGCATTCAAAATCACTAATGTCAACCTGTCAGAAATTTCCAGAAAACTAGCTATTTGAAATCCTACTGCTGGTGACTTGGGATCTCTTTGGCTGGAGCCTTGCAGTGCTCAGAATCTGAGCTTGTCTCACTAATTATCATTCCACTCTTCCAGGTCAATGATGCCATAGGAAGGGACTGGCCCTGGATCTATTTTGTTACACTAATCATCATAGGGTCATTTTTTGTACTTAACTTGGTTCTCGGTGTACTTAGCGGGTAAGCAGTACCAGGAAAATGTTTTATTATTGTTTATTTTTTAAAATTTGTATTTCTATTCCTACTTTCTGGTTACTAAAACAGCGGGCAGTGGCGGGTTGATCTCAGGAACCTTAATAGACAGCCGAGGCTATTGCTGTGCCAATTGCAAAATATGGCATTCCTAATGGCATGGAAGGAGTCTTTTGACTAAATCAAAGGAATACAAGACAAAATCTTTGTCTGTAACAAGTTCCTCTACCCCAAACCTCTACCTGTATTCTGTGGGAAGAGGACAATGCTATGCTACCCTGTGGGCAAAGCATACCATTCACCAAGAAGGGGATTATAGTAAAATTTCTGGAAGAGTCAGTGGGACTGAAGGAGGAATGAAAGCATGAGACAAATCCCTTCGCATTTGTGGGATGAGATTCTTGCCAAACTATGTCTTCTCACATGAGAAATTTTCACAGTGCTTAGTATCTGTAAGGCACAGCCTAGTGGGAGACTATTCTCCCTGGAGAGTGTCTTGGGCACGTTTCTTCTTCAATAAGCACATCTTCTCTATTGTGCAGATTACAAGGCTAGCATGATGCAGGGAGAAAAGATAATTTCCCTCTGACCTTTTCTAAGGATGAACAGAGAAGCTGGCGAATTCCTTCTGGTGTTTAAGCATTCCTAAGGCATCTAGACATTTAGCTGTATTTCAGTTCTGCAGTATAGTCCTCACTGCAAAGCATCATTTCACTGGCTTTGATTAAAAACAATTGATATTGTCCCCAGTAGTTAAAAACTTTATGCCACTGGGGAGCCACATAATTAGAGGAATCAAGCCAGCAAACATTCCTCGCAAGATTATTAAAAAGATCTCCTAGAATTAGGCTTCTAATTCCATATTTGGGCATGACTGGGTGCCTACACCCATTCAATGTACATGGATAAATATGGTCTGAGGATTTTGATACATCCTCTTTTTCTTTGTTTCTATCATCCTGCCCCCTTTAACAAGCTCTAAATGAATTTGGTCAGAGGCTGGGTGGGCAGCCCTGAAGTCTCCTGTCCTTTGATCAGAAGAGAGGGAAAATGATCTCTGAGCAGGAGCAAGGACTTGATGTCTCACAAAGATTATGTCCTCAGTACTTGGGCCAACAACATAGGAAGGGCAGTCGTAGGACTGGAGAAGAAGATCCACTGTTGGTCATTGGGCAAAGAGACAGGTAATAGGAGATCTACAGGAGGTATTACTATTGTCTTCATTACTTCAGTGAAGGAGACATGCTGAGAAGACAGCTGCTGCAAAGAGAAGGGTTTCCAAGCAGTAATAAGAGTGGGAAAAAAATCCCCAGCAATGAAGTGTCAGGCAATAGTCTGTGTTTGGATATCTGGAGAGTGATACTCTGGGTATAGTTTTAAAACATAAGCTCCGTGTTTCTCCAGGTGGATGCTCTGATCAGCAGGTAAGGGTGTCAGCAGTATCTGTTGTGTCAGAGGTACAACCTCAAGGACCATACAGGAGAGTGGTTTAAGGTTATGTAGTATCTGATGGGATAAACAGTGCCGGTGAGCCCAGCCCTGAGGAGTGCATACTGTTGAAGCACTGCTGATTCAATTTACCTACACTTGGATTTGGGTCTGTGCGTAATTAAAAATTGAATTCCCTCTCTCTCTCATTTATAAACTCAAGAAAGTGTTTTGGGGCCTAGATCTTCCACCTCCTGATATACTGCAGTGAGACCACCATAGTTAGTGGGAAGAGATGGAAACACTCGGCAAAGAGAACTGAACTCAAAGATGAAGTTCACCTTGTTTAAGCTGTGAGTCACTCTTTCTGGCTGTGCTCACAGTGTTATGACAGCTGCACTGTTTCTGCAAAATTTTTCCCAACTGGAGAAAAGTAAAAAGAAACTTAAGAATTTGCATCCATGAAAAAAACCTCCAGAAATTATAGGAAAAATGTTCCAAATTTTCTTTGGGCTAAATAAGCAGTTCTTAAACAATTAACTTTCTACAACAGTTCTAAATTCTGCTGAGTTGCTAAGTGTCTTTACTCTGCACACTCAGCTTTTTTTTTTTTTGAGACTTGCTATTGCTATTCGTCTGATCTGTGCAGGGGATCCACCTGTCTGTTCTATGTAGATACAAAGCACCATTCCTGGGCATCTTTGTATATCCATTCTGGGCGTCTCTGATTTCCTCACACTTATCTATTTCAGGCATTTCACCAATCACGTTGTGTAGGTAGACTTCATCAATGACATATTAGCTTAGTTTTCTGAATACTTAAGTGTATTTAATTGTACTCACAAAGACACCTTGATTGCACCTGCAAAATCAAATGCTGAGTTCTGCTCTGCCTGAAGAACTCATATGTAATTTGTTTTTTCTCAGGCATGTCATCCATTCATGGTCCTTCTGATGAGTTTACTAGTCGCATGCTAAGCTAAATTGTATGACAAAATATTCATGTGTAGAATTATAAACCTCTTCCTGTCTTGACTGAGCACAATATAAAATTCACATATTCCAAAGATAATATCCATCCAGCAGACCACACAGTAGACATCCTCAAACCCAAGAAAAAGGATTCCAAATCATTGCTGTGAGCAGTGAAGCCCCTCTTGGAGGTCTCTTGAGATCAGAGATGTTCACATCTCTATTATCTGTTTCAGTCAATTAGTGAGAGGTAAAAAAATAATGGCAGTGTGGGCTCAACTTTGAGACCTGCACACCTAAGCATATAGATTCACATTTCTTTTATATTTTGCCTAGCGGTAATCCAAATCCCAGGACACAGACCAAACAAGCAGTTGCCTAGGGCAAACCGGGGGCAGGAGAACAGCCGTTTCTTCTGCTCTGAGAGGATCCTAGAAAACACAGTTGGCTGCTTTTAATGGTCTTAGTGCCAGGGAAGAGGTCAGTGTGAGCGGGAGGCTGGCTATGGTTGCAGCTCCTCCTGCGGCAGTTTTTATGACCTTTCAGGACTTTTTCCTAGTCTTCTGTCCCCTCTTCCAACCCTTCCCATTCCCTGGTGTACCTCGTAGGGTGGATGAAGGAACACTTGTGCTGCACTTTCAGCAGTAAACAAGAGTTTTGAACAGCTAGAATTCTGCTTTTCTGCTTATTTTCCATCACTCCTCTAAATGTGAAAAATCATATTGAGATCAGCTATAGACAAGAATTACCTATATTCCATCATCAGGGTGGGCAAGAGATACTTTCTTCTGGAAGAGCACAGGATACAGAGCTGGGTGTTTATCTTCATGATCTTGACCCACTCTAACCTCACAGAGTGAAAGTATCTCTCTAGAATACTCTGGTTTTTGGTATTCCCATTGGCAGATGTATCTTATATTTTTCTGGGAGAGAAGAGTGAAGCAAACTGAATTCTGGTAAAAACTATCAGATTCACCAACTCTTAAACCAGTGTTTGCTTGTTCACTGCAAAGAAACAGACTGGTAGTTCTGCAAGCCTTTGTCGACCTTATCCTGATGTGATAGATAGTGCGATCTTTTTTGAGAAGGCCACCTCCAGACTGAAGATGGCACTGCCAACAGAAGGCTTTTTTGGTCCTTGGCCTCCCTGCTGGTGCTGCCAGCAATGGCCATTTATTGCTAGCCGTGGTGGTGGCAGAGGTAACTGGCACACCTGCCAGCAACAGGAACCGGACTGAGGTCACCAACTCATTTCATATGGGATGGTAAATGACCGTTGATAGTAATTCCTGATCGAGAACTACATTTGCCTGGATACAGGCTGGCATTCCACAGGGGAGGTGGTTTGAATTGCATCAGCAATTTCCTTAGACACCTGTTCTCAATGGTTTAATATTAGTAGAGCATAGAGGTTGAGATAATTTAAATAAGTTGTCTTCTTTGGAGAGTAATTTGGGATGTGGAATACCATACATTGTACAAAGGAAAGAGACATGCAATTGCAGGTCGTTTAGACTAGGCAATCACAGTATTTTGAGTTGTGCTATTAAAAAGTCAGGGAACAAAGTCACTGCAATGCAGACGGGCAGTGTAAAGACATCATGCTAAAATCTCACGTTGGTTCAGTCAGCTCTCCCCTCAGCCCGAGTCCAATTTGAGAGAGACAGTAAGTGGCGACTGAAAAGACCCAGGTAGGCCTGCAGCTTAGGTACATCTCACACAAACGGGCCACTCCAGTGCACAGTTGGAACTTCCCTTTCTGTAAACTGAGCTGTTTTATGATGTTTTCCTCTTTGGTTTATAAAACAGCCCCTTGCAAGTTACATTCATGCAAATATAAATAGTCCTCACTTGGAGTCGAGAGCTCAGTCCCTTTCAAAATTGGACCCATTTCTTCTAGATTCTAAAATACCAGCTGAGGAGCCAACTATTGAAATATTGGGATTTGGTTTCTCAAACAGGCTTAATAATACATAGACTCATTCAGTTTTTTGCTTTCTTTTCTTTTTTAAAGTTAATTCACTAATTTGGATAAGGCACTATTTCAGACCCAGAGGAAAGATGCTGTTGAAGCAGAAAATATAACTTCTATTGATTGAATTCTTCTAAATTTTTTGTACAGTTTTTATTATTATTACTGCTGTGGGATTGATTGTTTGTTTGTTTTACATTTTAAATAGCAAAATATCACTCCCAGCATCAGAAAATTTTATTTTTCATTCTTGCCATGCTTGCAATATCCTGATTAGATATCAGGAAGAAATTCTTCACAGAGAGGGTGGTGAGGCACTGGAACACGTTGCCCAGAGAAGCTGTGGATTCTATGCAATAGCTGTTTCTGCCTTGTGGCTAGGTTTGGTCCCAGGTCTGACTGTGATCTGTGTTCAGGCCTGAGAAGCCAATGATTCCCTTCCTTATTTCCACCTTCATTATCACAGTCGCATGGGATAGGCTGAACCTCTAGCAATGTGACAGGCATGAAGATCACACGGATATACTTTGCCACATACTTCAGCTTGAAATGAAGGCATTATTGTACTTCCGTTCTGCTGCAGTGATGGTTTCGTGCACACCTCCTAATATTGGAAGCCTGATCCAAAGCCTGTGAAGTCAATGGCAATCTTTCAGTGGGTTTTGGACCAGACAGAAGGGAAGTACTTCATTATCACTATTAGAAACTGGTCTCCATCTTAGTTGCTTGAGGACACTTCACATGGCATTCATTAACATTTTGGGTAGGATTTTCATAATCCTAATATTATCACACCAGTGTTAGTGGAAGGTTTCCTATTTGTTTTTGCAGGAGCCAACGTAAGACAGATACTAGGTGGAGGGTATCTGTATTCCACACCTTGCTCATCCTACTGCCTACAAACATACCTTCTGCAGAACCATCTCAACTCACTGGTTTACTAACCAGCTCTCTGACAGTCATCAGCAAGGGTAATGGATATGGCATTGGAGAGAATTACTGTACCTCTCATTTCCAGAAACAGTGGGCCGTGTTATCTGCTGTGTGTGCCTTATGTAGTGATCCGCTTCAGCAAATGAAAGACCTAATGCTGAAGTACTCTTTGTCCAGCACTTTTCACAATCATTAAGCTTACTTTTTAAAATACAAGTGTTCAGACCTGGTTTAGAACCACAGGAGAGTCTCTACATAGAGGTAGGTCAGCATTTAAAAAACATAATGCAAGAGAGGAAAAAACAGCATCACAGCCAAAAAGAAGGTAAAACAAGCACCCAGGTTCATAACTAAGCAACATGAAATTCTTGTTCCTATGCCCTGTTTTAAGTCTACATTCCTAATAGTGGTCTTTCATAAAACTATCAAATGTTTTCCCTTGTTCGTTTTCTGGCAGAATCTATTAGCTTTGTCTACCCATGATTTATCATGTTTTTCTACCTAACTTGAGATTTGAAAAATATGTTTCATGTCAGATAACAGTCCTGACTACTGAAAGTCTGCTGTACAACATTGAGGTCTGAGTTTTTACATATATTGTCTAGTACTGTGGGTGAAATCAACCATATTTAACTGTGTACAGAATTGTGAGTACAGTTAATTACACTTAGCCCAATTTAGTTGTGATTACACACAGAATCATAAAGACAGATTGAAACCTGGCTAAAACTTAGAGCCACCATCTCACTCTCCAGATGACAGATTATTGTCAAACAGTTCATCATTGAATTAAATTCACCATTATTCATTTAGATATTTATGAATAACTCTTGGAGCATATCAAGTGGTAAAGAATGTTAGAAAGTGTGTGGTATTGTACATAAATGTTACATACTCTTTGTGTTTGAATTGTCAATCAAATGTTGAGAATGAAAGGATTAAAAAAGATATTAATCTTTTCCTAAGCACTGGTAAAAACGTGGACACTCCAGCTGTTTTACATGTGTATCTAGCAAGGATACTCCATTCATGTGTCTGTCTTGAAAGAATAGAGAAAGCTGGGTGTGCTACACAGGATGTGGAGACTTTCTAGTGGAAATCAATCTAACCCATTGTTTTTCAATCTCTTCCTTCCCTCCGCCCATGTCCTGTCCCTCCCTCCCTCTTGCTAGGGAGTTTTCCAAAGAACGAGAGAAGGCTAAGGCTCGGGGCGATTTCCAGAAGTTACGGGAGAAACAACAGCTAGAGGAGGATTTGAAGGGATACTTAGACTGGATAACTCAAGCAGAAGATATTGACCCAGAAAATGAAGATGAAGGCATGGATGAGGAGAAGCCTCGAAACAGTAAGCAATTTTCTTGTGTCTTTCTCTCTCCCTCTCTCTCTGTGCTTTTAGCAAGAGAGCCCTTGCCCACCTGCTGTAGTGCTGAGACGGCTTATAAGGAAAAACAAGTTCTTCCTGTGACTCTCACCATGCTTATACATGATTCCAGTTTAATGCCTGTAGGAAACTGTAGGAGAGAGATATATGTGTACAGTAATTGATATTGTTCTGCAGATCCTCAGTTTCTTGTCTGTGATACTAGCATAAGATTCTGATACAAAACAGAAAAAAGATCAACACTTGCCATTGAAGTCCACTACCGAAATAAGTTTTAAAATATACATCTGTCTCCTATTCATTTATTTGATTGCAGTTCAGTGTTGCAGGCTGTTTACACACACAGAAAAAAGATCAACACTTGCCATTGAAGACTTAAATAAGTTTTAAAATATACATCTGTCTCCTATTCATTTATTTGATTGCAGTTCAGTGTTGCAGGCTGTTTACACACGGTTAATTGCTTTGGAAGTAAAGGTTTCTAGGCAAAGCAATGCTACAGTATGGGAGAAGGGCCAAGTCAACTCTGTTGTACATTAAGTGGGCCATCTGTAACTCCATTGAAATCAGTGGAATTGTGTTTGCTTTTGCAAGGCTGGAATTAAGCTCTCAGACATTTCTTGTAAGGGATTTGTCTCTTATTCTGTTCTGGAGCTGAGATGATGTTTGTGCGAAGTGAGAATTCACCAACTATCCCTTCTTAGAAATCCCGAAGAAAGAAGGGCTCAAAGAAGGCAGTGATTCTCTACATTTCATTACCTTCATTGAATCTTCTCCTTCTACCTCCTATTTTACCAACACAGGCCGTGTAACACTTCAGAAACACCTAGCAGTTATCATTGCAGGTCGTGCCCCTGGGAAATGTCAGAGGTGAGACCTTTCGACTGTTACACAGCTCATGGGCACTGCCTCTACTCTTAGCTTTATGGGAATGTGCGTTTTCCTAGTGTGATTTTGGAAGAGAAGACATGAAACACTTCCCTAGAGATCACCCTTCCTACCAAACAAGAAAAATCCATGGGATGATCCAATTGGAAACATATACTCTAATAATAGGAAGACTGCACATGGGGAAGTTGTGCCTACAGGGTGAAGGAAGGTTTGTCTTGGCTGCTCGTGATCTTTTGGGGAGTAAGTGCTACCCGCTGTTGCTGCCAGAATATTTAAGTCCTTTTAGAAAAAAAAAAAAAAGAGTAGGCATTAATATCAGGCAATACCCATGATAGTTAGGTATCTGGACCTGAAGGAGTCACCGGGCTGACTTGCTCAGACTGTCCCCACATCAGGTGGATCTTTATGCTGGTGTCTTCGTGGGGCATATAGTTTACCTTCTCAATTTAATCTCAGTAGTCACTCATATGAATTTATTATTCATGGCCAAAATTTGCTGCTCTGTGGCATGTAATAGATGGAAGGTAATGTCTTGGGATCCAAATTAATATAGTTGTAGATAGAATTCCCTATTAAACCCCATCCCCCCAAAAACCCAGCGTTACTACTGCAGTGGGTTCTGGTTGGTATACTTACGACATCAGAGTGCGGAGGCCAGGGACTGAATTGCACACAACTCCAGTGAAGTCACCAGGGTAATTTCTCTGGACTTCAGAGGGAATTGGGTCATCTTTTGCACATTTCCTCTTAGAGACGTGGCTGCTAAAGAAGTGTGGCCACAGCAGTGAGTTGCTGTGGTGAGAACTTGCCTTGTTACTAGCAGATTGAAGTTTTCCCTTTTTAATTAAGACAGAAGTCATGCTGTTTTGGTAAGAGTTGTGGAATATGTCGGATGTAGATTTGTTGCATGTGCTGTGGTGTAGGGTCAATCCACATTTGAGCTAACAAGTTCCTTTTATGGGTGGCGATGTTAAGAACTGGAAGATAACATATTTTCAGCTTGCTTTCAGTTCTTCTGTCCAGTATAAGAAGGTGAATTTTTTAAGACATGCCTTACAAAATTACTCCTCTTACCTCTGACTAGTTGTGTAGAGTTTCTCGCAGTCGGCTGTTAATGAAAGAACTGCATACTGTTAGCCAACTAATTGTTTCCCATTGCTTTTCCAAACAATTAATGAAGGCAGTGTCTTCCACGCCAGTGATTCCCAGTGTCAGGTCTGAGGGCAGTGGCTGCTGACTAGTCCATAGCACGCAGCATGTCATTCTCTGTGACACTGTGGCTTTGGGCGACATCAGCTGTTTTTGTTACGTGACAGACCAGGCTTGGGAACAGATGTCTGCAGTGCCTAGCGCTACACGGTAGAATTACGCCTCCATTGAGAGGAATTGCTCGGGACGTGAAGGAAGGCTGTGGACTGATTCTGGCGATGTAATGGGGACAATGGTCATGCTGACAAAGGTCCACACAAGAGAACAGCAGGGACCATGCAACCAAGTCATTCCATTAAGTTTATTTGCCTATTCTTCTGATGTACATGCCCAATCTAGAGCAGACTGTGGACAGCAGTATTCTTAGCACCTGTGGCCTGCATCTGTAAGTGCCAAACTAATCCTTCTTCTAGCTTTGGTGTGCTCTACAGTGCTGTACCCTGGTCTTCCCGCCACGGGCTTTCCGGGCTATGGAAGTAAAGGCTCTCTGTGCTGCCATCCTCTGGTGCAGAAGCAAATAGCTTCTGGGTACAGACGGTAGAGCAACACTCCCTCACCCCAAAGACAATAAAAATACCTAGATGCACGCCCCCACCCAGCAGAATTGTGGAGCTTCCTCTCTGACCTTTTGTATTTTATAAATGACATTAATTTTTCTTTTCCAGTAGGCTGTTATATTTACTTTTTCACAAATGCAGGTACTGTATTTTTTAAGCTCTATCGCGTTTCTTGATATTTCTGAATTTCAGTCCTCATTCGCATGACAAGTGAGAATGTATTTGCAAAGCCAGATAGTTTGCAGACGTCCTTTACTGAGATGTCATACTCACTTCATTGGTGGACATGCTTCTCTGTCATGTGCGTCACATGGGAAGAAATTCCTGGTATACTTCCTGTACCTACCTATCTGATTCCACACCTAAGCTCATCCTACTGCTTACAAACATACCTTCTGCAGAACCATCTCAACTCACTGGTTTACTAACCAGCTCTCTGACAAGGCCTGTCCGCTCTCCTGAAGCTGAGTCACATCGCAACTGTGCTCCTCTTGGGGCTCGAGAGATTTGCTAGAAAATGGGTTGAATGAACACTAGGTAACAAAATCAAACCAAGAAGTGGAGATCCCTAATGGCTTCAGCTTAAGACAATACTACAGAAAAGGTACCACGAGTAAGTGACAGGGTGGGTTTTTTGGGTGGGATTGGTTTTGTGTTTTTTTCTGGTTTGGGTGTTTTGGTTTTTGGGTTTTTTTTAGTGCATTATCTACTGTGTTGAATGTTTCAGCATTCATGCCAGCAGTCAATCACCAGTAGGGTTAAACTGAGGGAGAAAGATTATATTAGTTCTTTTCTGACAACCCTCTACAAAATAAGCTCCGACTATAATTGAAAAATAGCACAGTTGTAAATGTCCTCAGGAACCCCTTTGGCTTGAGTGCCCCCAAGACATTTGAACCCCACCTATTAGCAGTGCTGAGCTCACATTGCTGAGGCTCCAGTGTCTTCCTTTTTCCTGTGTTTATCCTTGTCGTCTTGTATTGCCTCATATGGGGCTTCAGTGTGCTTTTCTCTGAAGTGCTCTTCAAAGCTCAGTGCCATCTGTCTCTAGTACAGTGTCCTGAACTCCACAGAAGAGCGCCTTTCCAGCACACTTTGTTCAGGGATTAATTAATTAATAATGTTGACTTTTAAGGTAGCAGCCCTGCACCTCTCAGATAACAAATCACCGAAGTGCACAAGACAGTTCAGACCCCCTTAAGCTGTTGTTTCAGCTCAATAAACTTCAGGGGTTGCCTTTGCCTTGGTTATATTGTACTGATGCTCAGGAGATGGGGGCTGCTGCCTGAACTCTGACAGCGACTCACACCATTACTTTAAAGAAGTCACATCGATTTTTGGTTCCTCAGTTTACTCTTGGAGATTTGGGTTTTTTTTTAATAAAGAATATCAGAGGAGTTCAGAAGTTTAATTAAAATACACTTTTTAAACTAGAGTCTCAGCTAATATAAACTCTAAGATTCAGCAGTTTACACCATCTGGGCTCTGACCCAGGTAGTCTACCTAAACTAAATCATCCCGAACACAGAGAGCATATGTTTCCAGTCTCTTCTCTGTCCTTGCCTGCAGAGTCAGGTTTTGCTGCCTCCTAACTCTGTAGAGAGGGCTGCCTTCCTGTCAGCTTGGGAACTGTCCCCTGTAAAACAGAGAACACAAGGTGGAAGGAAAGAGAAATTCTCTTGCACCCCTTTTGGTTTGACTGCCTGTGACAGTCCTTAGAGCATCACTGGTCATATTTTGTATATGCCACTGCTTTCCTGAAGCTGCCAAACCTTGCCCTAAGTCTCACTGGGCATTTGCAGCCCTCAGTGAAATGGTCAACAAGCCCAAGGACTGCGGCAGCCAAGAACCTTAGTGGAGGAAAGGGTAAGAAAGGAAGATAAGTGCAGCCAGACTCGGACAAGCTGAGCAGCCTTTAGCTGATGCTCTCCATAGCAGAGGTCTTGGCGTTCTTCTGAGGCAGCTTATTACCGGTTGTCTCCCACATGCATTGAGGGGCAATTCACAGAGCAGGCTGAATGCATTCTCTGTTTTGGAAGTACATGTTTAAGGCAGTTTTTCCTTGTTGTTTGCAAACATGACTTTGCCATTATGGCAGATGTGAGGTGGGAAATGTAAAAAGGCTTCTGAGGTCTGTTTGTATTATGATTTTCTTCTGTGCTCTTTCC